AAAGGTCTTAGCAGATGTAATTAAGGTAAAGATCTCAAATTGAGATTGTTACCGACAGACCAGGCTTGACTTGCCCTCTTGCATTAAACAAGTGACCTGAAAGTCCAAAAGTTGGTACGAGGATTGGAACGTTTATTCAGATTACCGATACTCAACTAAATGTGTAACCAAGCAAACAAAGAGAAAAGAGGAGCAGTGGGGTCTAGTTTATCCTAGTCCCAATTGGCAGGGCCAACCTATTCCACTGACAGTAATTGATAAAAGCAGTTCTCACCACTGTTGTCAGCACAAAGAAGAAAAGTACTGACTAGATTTAACTCAGAGAAACAAAGCATAGCCAGGAACCCTCCAGGGTGTACCTATACAGAATAGCAGAAGAGGGCTTGGAAAATCAGAGAAAGGTAAAGAGAATTTTAGCGGCTTCCAGACTTCGAAAAGTACTGACTAGATTTAACTCAGAGAAACAAAGCATAGCCAGGAACCCTCCAGGGTGTACCTATACAGAACAGCAGAAGAGGGCTTGGAAAATCAGAGAAAGGTAAAGAGAATTTTAGCGGCTTCCAGACTTCCAGTCACTGTGTGGCATGGGAATGAATCCCCACCACTCTCATAATCCCCCATTAGGGGGAACCTGCTCAAGCAAGATCTTCCCAGTGTAGGACTGACCTTCCCACCTCTGCTAGTCACCCATCAAGGCAAGTCACTGCTGGCCAGAGGGAGCATGCATCTCACAGGTTGAGAGGAGTTTAAGCTGTAGTTCTCTGGCAGTCACATTAAAGAGGAAGAAAAGGGGAAGAAAGGAGAGTAAAAGATGAGGTCTCAGATAGAAATGAGGAACTTACTGGGAATTGGACAAAAGATTACCCTTGCTACACCATAGCAAGGAACTTGGCTGCATTGTGTCAATGCACTTGGACTTTGTGGAAGGTGGGACTTAAGAGTTGTGACCCAGAATGTTTGGCGGAAGAAATTTCTAAGCAGCAAAGCACTAAGAAAGCTGCATGGTTACTTTTAACAACCTACTCTGAGTTAATGGCAACAAAGGCGTGATGTAAAGCCAGAATTTAAAAGGGAAGCAGAGTGTAAAGATTTGGAAAATTTGCAGCCTGGCCATGTGGTAGAGAAGCAGAGAGCAGGAGAAAAAAGCAAGGGTGAAGCAGGTAAACTGGTTAGCTTGGTGGTGGGGCAGCCGGATGCTAACAGCCAAGACAATGAGAAAAAAGCCCTGAAATCATTTCAGAAGCCTGGAAGGGTGCCCCTTCCATCGCAATCCCTGAAGCCTAGAAGGACTAAGTTGTCCTGGAGGACAGACCTGGGGCACAGCTGCCCTCAGGAATCACCTCCCAGCATCCCAGCTGCTCTGGCTAGAGCAGCCCTGCCTCACGTGGCCCCAAGTGTGGTTTTTGCAGCAGCTCTGGAGAATAGAAGCCTGAAACCTCGGTGATGTCCACATCATGTTAAGTCTGTAGGACAGTAGAACATGAGAGCAGTGGAGGCATAGCAGCCTCCACCCATATTTCAGAGGATGTATGGAAAAGCCTGGGGGCCCAGGCAGGGACCTGCCTCGGGTGGAGCCATTGGAGAGGCCATCTACTAGAGCAATGCCAAGCAGAAAAGTGGGGCTGGAGCCTCCACAGAGAGGGAAATGTCTAGTAGAGCCAAGTCAGCGAGGTTTCTGCCAGGACCCCAGAACTGTAGTGGCACTGGCAGAGTAAAACACTAGCCTGGAAAAGCCACAGGCTACAGTGCAGCCTACTGGGCTGTGCCTGGCAGAGCTGTGGGAGTGAGGCTGTCCAATGCTTTGGGGGCCCAAATGCCCCATTGTGCCCAGGATGCAGGACTTGGAGTCAAAGAAGATTATTTTGGAGCTTTAAGACTTAATGTCTACCCTGCTGGGTTTTGAACTTGTGGTCTGTTTCTCCTTTCTTTTGTTCTATTCCTCCCTTTTGGAATGGGAATTTGTATCCAGTGTCTGTTTCACCATTGTATCTAGGAAGTAGATAAATTTGATTTTGAGTTTTACAGGTTCACAGCTGGAAGAACTTTTGCTTTTGGTCTCAGATGAGACTTTGGTCTTTGGACTTTTAAGTTGGGGCTGGAAGAAGCTAAGACTTTTGGGACTGTTGGGATAGAATGATTGTATTTTATATGTGGGAGTGACATGAGTTTGGGGGGGCCAGGGGCAGAACAATAGAGTTTAGATGTGTTGTCCCCTCCAAAACTCATGTGGAAATCTGATCCCCAATGTGGCAGTGCTGGTAGCTGTTTGAGTCATGGGGGCAGATCCCTCATGAATGGATTAATGCTCTCTCTGGGGGTGGGGGTACTGAGTGAGATCTTGCCCACGAGAGCTGGTTCTTTAAAAAGACTCTGGCCCATGTGATCTGCTTGTACCCGACATCTGCCTGCTGCTTTACGCCCTGGGTAGAAGAAGCCTGATGTCTGCACCAGACACAGCTGTCCCAAAATCTAAAGTAGCTGAGGTCATACTCACACCAGCCACTACTGCTTGGGACTGCATTCTTCACTCCACTTCACTCTGCAAGCTGACTAGACTCCAGACAACATCAGCCCTGGTCTATTCACTCCGAGGGCTGACTGGTCTATGCATGGCAGAAGCCTGAGGATCTCCAATGAAAAATTGTGCCCCTGCAGAAATTGCTGGGCTTGGCTTTTTGGGACTTTTTTATTGTTTTGCTTTTTTATTGCGTGTATCACATTATCTCTTTCCCCTGTTAACAAGTTATAATAATGATGCTGTATGACTGGGCCGTGTCTGGCTACAGTCAAAGCATCAAAGTGGGAAATGAGGCACCCATGTTCTCCTGAGTGGTCATATATGCCAAGCTGTATCCTGCCCTGCCTTAACGGCTAAATGGGCCTGGAACTTTTCCTGCCTAAATGGAAGTTATAACCATGTAAGGTCACCACTTTACCCCAATGTAAAAAACCAGAAGTGTAACAATATAAAAGAGATAGCCCTGCTGCATTTGGGGCTCAGCCTTTGTGACAAGACTCTGCTGAGCTGCTGCCAGCATCAGTAAACTCTGCTTTCTAATGCAAGCCTCGATGTCCTGCCTCTCCTTGAGAATTTGCTGTAACACGCTGTGTGTAACATTATTACCATAAACTGAAGTATTTCTGTGATTTTTAATAACAAAAATCCTATATGGTTATTAATAAAAGTATGTATGTCCGAGCAATGCTTTCTGTTGGATTTAGGAGTGTAGTATATGGGGTGATGGATGGTGTACAGCAAATTTTATAGTTGTAGCAAGTATGAGTACTCCATTCCTTCTAACGGCTGAATAAGGTTCCATTGTAGGTAAATACTGCATTTTTGTTTGGCCATTAATTAGTTAATGGACATTTGGTGTTTCCACCTTTTGGCTATTGTGAATAGTACTGCTCTGAACATTCATGGGTAAGAGTTTGTTCAAATATTCTTTTTCACTTTAGTATGTACCTAGGAGTGGAACTTCTTGATCATGTACTATTATTCTATGTTTAACTTTTTGAGAAACTGACAAACTATTTTTTGCAGTATCTGTATCATTTTACATACCCACCTGCAATACATGAGAGTTTCAGTTTTTTCATGTCATTGCCAATACTTGTTATTTTGCATTTTTAAAAATTATAGCCATCCCTAGTGGGTGTAGAGTGGTATTTCATTGTGGTGTTGATTTGCATTTCCCTGATAACTAATGGTGTTAAGCATCTTTTCATATGCCTGTTGGCCATTTGTTCATATTCTTAAGAGATGGGTTTATTCAGATCCTTTGCCCATTTTTAAACTTGTTGCTTGTCTATTTGTTGTTTAGTTGTAGGGGTTATTTATATATTCTAGATGATAATAGACTCTTATCACCTATTTGATTTGCAAATATTTTCTCTCATTCCCATAAGTTGTCTTTTCAATTTCTTGGCAATGTTGTTTGATACAAGTTTTAATTTTGATGGAAGTCCAAATTATTTCATATTTTGTTGCTTGTGCTTTTGATATCATTTCTAAGAATCCATTGCTAAATCCAAAGTCATGAAGATTTACTCCTCCATTTTTGTGTAAGACTTTTAAAGTTTTAGCTTTTACATTTAGGTCTTTGATCTTAAAGAATTAATTTTTGATCAGTTTTGATCCATTTTGAGTTAATTTTTTGTGTATGGTGAACAATAGGACCACCAACTGTATTTTTATCACCTTTATCACTGGTATTACCCATTATTATAAGCATGAAGCCTGTCCAACATAATGTCGGAATTGTTTTTCTGAATAGCTTTTCCCCCATGTATTCAATCAGTGGTAATTTCATCTTTAATTTTTATAAATCAGAAATGGTCTGCATAATGTAAAATGTGTTCCCTAATTAACTGATCCCATTTTATCCAGTGTGTGGTAGGAAAACTTTAGCTACATTAGATATATCTATGAGTATAGTAGGTCTTGGTTTTTTAATTTCTAAAATTGGCAGGGGTGATTAGTAAATCTGTTTCTAGGTTTAAAATTTTATCACTAAATTCAGACTTTAGTTTTGGTATTGAAGCATAATTCAGGGGAATATGTAATTGTTATTTGTGCATTCTAATCTTATTTAGTTAGTCATAATCTGGTTGTATGAGGGTACTTCAAAAAGTTGATGAAAATTTGTTTTATCTTTTAATTCTATTTTTCCATGAACTTTTTGAAGTGCCCTTATATCTTTTATTAAATACCATTCCTTGATTAGAAGTTATATCACTAGTTTTTTATTTTTCCCCTTCATCTATATTGTTCAGGGTAAGATATTTTCTGGAAGCTACTAGAGTAAAAAGTGGTGATGGTATGGTAACCTTTATAAGGCTGTTGTACTATTCTTTAGCTTTTTAAAAAAATCTGCCAGTACAGGATGGGCAGAATGGACCTTATACCTCCTTCTGTTAACTGTCAAAAGTTTTAACTTTTAAAGTTTTCTAATTATTTGTTTTAAATGGAGGATATAATCTGGTTGTTTCTTTTTTAGTACTTGATTCTGAAGCTTGAAAGGCCTGCTATAGTTCAGAATATTACTTTTGGAAAATATGAGAAAACTCATGTCTGTAATTTGAAGAAATTTAAAGTCTTTGGAGGAATGAATGAGGAAAATATGACAGAGCTATTGTCCAGGTGAGTTATGGGGAGGAAAGAATTGTCTTTTAAATAAACTGCAGTACTTTAGTCTCTTTGTAGCTAAATCTGCATGGTTTGATTTTTCTTTCAAGGGAGCAAAGAATGTTTCTCTTATTCTGTTCCTAGTGCCTTATTTAATACTGTGGCTTGAATTAGCTTTTTTTAAAACCACCATATACTAGTTAATACTGTTATCAAAGAAGAAAGAATCAAATTTTGGGTTATTTTTCTTCTTTTTCAATCATATTTTTGAACTATTAAAGACGTCAGAAAATACCTTCAGCTTTAATCAAAATCTTTGCTATACTCTTTGCTATTAAAGTATAGGTTCTATCCAAAACATTAAGATTGATTGCTTTAATCCAGAAGTAATATTCTAGGAGTTTACTTCAAGTTGAGACTAAAAAGAGGAAGGTTTTGTAAATGAAAAAAATGTGTGACTGCACCTAGTACAGTGCCTGCTGCTTTGAGGGAGCTCAGTAAATTTGAGTTTTAACAACATAGACCACCAGAAATGAAGGTGTTAATCTGCCTCCCAGATAATGAAAAATCAGATAGCCGTGGAATGGACAAAGAAAGCCACAGAGATTTAGAATATATTTCTGACATGGTATGTCCCATTAACACAGTACTTTATATAAGTAAATATTACTTTTATACTGTACTGCATGTAAATCATGCAGGTATTTCAGGACATAAGGCAAACTGAAGGTAAGTGACTTTCTCATAAATACTTGTTGTCAACCCTAGCTGTTTAAGTAGAGAGATGATATGGGTTTATTTTTATTCAGGATAAAGCAGATGCTGTTAAACCAACAATATAAGGTTGTCTTTGAAAATTTATTGAACTATAAAAGGAACATTGGTGCCTCAATCAGAATTAAATAACTTAATTCTTTGGCAAATTCTAACATTTGGCTTTGTTTAAATTGTCAGATATGAGTGTGAATTTTCCTTTTTACTGCTTGAAAACTTTATGTCATATTCACTTACATGTTAAGGACACTAGATCCTGTCATTTATTTCCAGATACTGTAGCCACATTCTTTAATTAATACTGAACATTTTTCATTAACCCTCATATAATTAAGAGAATACAGTTATATTGCAGTTGATTTGAGTGTAGAAGTTTTGACCTCTATTCTCATGTTCAACTACTTGTTTATATTGTCTTGGTCCTATATTTTGAGCATTGGTTTAAACTTAAAATTTGAGTATGACATTAATCTGTGTTTTACTGTGTTTACTAGATTATGAAATTAGATTTGATAACCTTATTTTTTTTTCATAGTGGCTTAAAGAATGATTATAACAAAGAAACATTCACCTTGAAGCATAAAATTGATGAACAGATGTTCCCTTGTCGATTCATTAAAATAGGTAAGGTTTTAACATTCTGAAAGAGAAACACATTCTTTATACTGCTAGTAAACTACAGCCTGTGGACCAAGTCCTGCAGGGCCTTGTTTTGTTAACTAAAATTTTATGGGAACATTGCAATACCGATTTGTTTACATATTGTCTATGTCTGCTTTTGTGCTGCAAAGGCGGAGATGAGTAAGTTGCAAGAGACCACATCGCCCACAAGGCCCCAAAAGTTTACTGTTTGGTCCTTTACAGAAAAAGTTTGCTGACCTCTGCTTTTATAGATCTGTTACTAAGTGACAGTTATTTCAAGTAGAACCTTTTCCAGATATTTTCTCACTTGAAAGTTTTCTTAGAAGATTTATGAGACAGAATGATTTGATTGCCTTTATTTTATGGAAGCTTTATCAGTTCTAAAGCTACAGCATTCTAAAATCAAATACTGATGAATTCCTCAAGACAATGTATTATGATTATTTTCTGTTCTTTTGTATTTCTCTTTTTTTTAGTGAAATGCTCGTCAAACCCATTAAATTGATTTCATGACCCACTAGTATGTTTGAAACCACTGTTTGAAAAAATGCATGTTTTTATTGAGCAAGTGTTTTAGCTTAAGAAAGTATTTGTAATATATCCTCAAAATTAGTATATTTCATGTTATTTTGTTTTTCTTTAAGATTTGTTATTTAGAAGGTAAGAAGGTTGAGGACTTAAATTTTTTGATTTCCATCTACATTGTATACCTTTGAAAATATTATATTAAAATTGGGATTAAAGTGAATCAGATCCCTCAATAATAATAAAAGCCAGAACCCCACATTTTGATTTGGGAGAGTAATTTCTCTTTTAGAACAAGCAGTGTTTTTCATAGTCATTGCTTTCCAATCTATCAAGAGTTGGCCTATTCGTTTCATTGAGTCAAATACTTCTTTTGGGTGAAAGAAATATCTGAGGTCTTGATAAAGACTACTTATAAAGGGAAAACTGTTTTTAGAATAGTTGGATGTCCAATGTGTTGCTTTCCTTTTTTAACCACAATTTCTGTTGTTATAATAAATAATCGTAAATAAAAGCCCATATCCTGTTTTCTTGTGAGAATTAATGAACAAGCAAATTTTTTGAATAAGTTGAACTCTTGATCATCAGTATTTAGACTACCCAGTTCCTAAAGATCCCTGCATAGCTTTAACAATTCTACAGTCTTATATTTCAAATATCCAAGCAGTGGAAATTGGAATTCTTTCATCTCTTTCTATCAGCTTTTCTCCTTTTTCTTTTTTTCTTTTATTGCTGAGTTTAAGTTTGTGCACTGTAAAAATTTTTCTCCCAGCTTTATTAAGATATAATTGACAAATAATTTTATGTATTTACAGTGTACAATGTGATGGTTTGATATATGTATGCATTGTGAAATGATTAAATCAAGCTAATTAACACACCCATTTTTTGTGTGTGGTGAGGACACTTAAGATCTACTCTCATAGCAATTTTTAAGTATGCAATACATTATNAAGAAATATCTGAGGTCTTGATAAAGACTACTTATAAAGGGAAAACTGTTTTTAGAATAGTCTATTCTAAAACTGTTTTTAGAATAGATGTCCAATGTGTTGCTTTCCTTTTTTAACCACAATTTCTGTTGTTATAATAAATAATCGTAAATAAAAACCCATATCCTGTTTTCTTGTGAGAATTAATGAACAAGCAAATTTTTTGAATAAGTTGAACTCTTGATCATCAGTATTTAGACTACCCAGTTCCTAAAGATCCCTGCATAGCTTTAACAATTCTACAGTCTTATATTTCAAATATCCAAGCAGTGGAAATTGGAATTCTTTCATCTCTATCAGCTTTTCTCCTTTTTCTTTTTTTCTTTTATTGCTGAGTTTAAGTTTGTGCACTGTAAAAATTTTTCTCCCAGCTTTATTAAGATAAAATTGACAATTAATTTTATGTATTTACAGTGTACAATGTGATGGTTTGATATATGTATGCATTGTGAAATGATTAAATCAAGCTAATTAACACACCCATTTTTTTGTGTGGTGAGGACACTTAAGATCTACTCTCATAGCAATTTTTAAGTATGCAATACATTATTATTACCATGCTGTACAATAGATCTCTAGAACTTGTTCATGCTGTCTCACTGAAACTTTGTACTATTTAGTTAACATCTCCGCATTCCCCCCATCATCCTTTAATTGTAGGGCATAATGTCTTTTACTTGACTTGGGGTTAGTTTTTTGGTATTCTGGCAAAATGATAATTGGAACTTTCCAAGTGATTGGAGGCACTTAGCCCATTTGATATTTAAGATATTAATATTTAGATAACTTCATATTTCTTTTCTGTTAGAAGACGTTAGTACTGGTCTTCAGTGTGTCTGCTTTTCAATCTTTTTCCAACATTCTCTTGATAAGTTTTCTTTGAAAGTAATACAAGGAAAATATGGAACTAAGAGCCTGTATGTTAAGTTAGTATTTTTAGTTTATGACCATATTTTCTTAAAAAATCATTTTGATAAAGACTTGCATGATGTGTAGCTCTCTTTGGGTGGTGATTTGACACATATTTATCTGGTTGGGATAAATTGTGAGAATTTGTTTTAAAAGAAAAAAATGTTTGAATACTTCACATTTATGTTCTACAGTGATACACTTGAAATATCTTGCTTTATTTAAAAAACAAGTTAATTCTTAATGCAAGTTCTAAATACAGTCAGCCTTCAATTATTCACAGTAATGGAGGGAAATGGAAGCAAGACTAATTCAATGGCAGATAATCTCCAAATCGTACATTGATATATAGCTATAATAATTTTCATTTATAGTGAATATAGCTTATTCATTAAATTTTTGCTTAAACCAAATTAAAGTAAGTTTGGTCACAGATTGTTAACAAGGTAAATGAGTTCACATGTTTACAGTGTGGCAGGTATTAAGTTTTAAAATCTGTTGTGGATAATCCAGAGTGCCAGCATAGCTGAATTGATTTTGGCTGCTTTCCTTCAGGTAAATTTTACCTTTAAGTTACCTTTTTTGTAAAATGAGGATGATAACACCCTTTCTGCCTAATGGTAGAGGGCAGGTTACTACATTGGATGTTTTCTTGAGTTCTGTTCTAGTTTGTGGGTCTGTGTTAGCTTTTAGAATTTTAACTTAGGGTCTTATATATGAAGGAAGTGATTGCATTTTGAATGCTTCTTTCTGTGCATTTTTATACTTATATTCATAAAGCTCTTGTTACATGCCTTCTTATATGTGGTATTATAAGTACTATAGAAAAAGAATATGCACTAGTATAATTTGAACCATCATGTTGTTTCAGCAATCATTATTTAGAGTTTATTTTTTTTTATTGTTTTTCATGGTTTTATAAGCGTGTTCACATATGGTGTTTCATTTGAATATCATAATGGCAGATAAAAATCTTCCCTTTTTTAGTTGAAGAAACTGAGGGTAGAAGTCAAATGACTTGTTCTAGGCTACGTATAGCTAGCATGTGATGGATCAAAGACGTAGCTTTTGTTATATTCATCACACTTTTGGTTATGTGCTTGTATTGCTTTGAAGTAACAATAATCATAATAGGTATCATTTATGAAGTTGCCTAACACTTTGTGAGATATGTGTTGATGCACTTACCTTACAGATGAGGAAACTGAAGGTTGAAGTGATTTGGCTGAAACCACACAAGTAGTAAAATATAGACATGGAATGCAAACTCAAGTCTGTCTGCTTCCATAGGTTGACTTCTCTTTCTATGTGATGTATATAAGAATTGTTTCCTCAGAAGATTGTGAAATCCTGTCTTCTGTTTCCTCAAGATTTCAAAAGCTCCCGGCAACCTGCTTGCCTCATTACAGACATTGTATGTGCCCTTTTTGAATTTATTGTATAAGAGGTTGTGGGGATAAGTCAGTGGCTTCATGAATGTGCTGAGGGAAAAGTTGCATCTTAGTGTTCTCTGACTTCTCACTAATAATACAGAAAGTTCATGAGAAGATCTTGTATTATCTTTTATTTCTATCTTTCCATGAACTTTTGAAATACCCTTGTATAAAGCATTTCCTTCAATTATGAATATAGGCAGTGATTCATAGTAGTAACAGTACCTGTGACTTGTCACAAATAGAAGTTACACGTTTTCCCCATCATATTACAGTGTGGCACATATTTTTCTCTTCTCTGTTTTTTTTTTTTTTAAACAGTGTGGCAAATATTATCACAACTTTGAAATGATGGTAATTGTTAGACCTGCCGCGTTTTCCCCATCATATTACAGTGTGGCACATATTTTTCTCTTCTCTGTTTTTTTTTTTTTTTAAACAGTGTGGCAAATATTATCACAACTTTGAAATGATGGTAATTGTTAGACCTGCCACTAGATCTTGTCATTTAATGTGTAAATAAAAAAGCATATATATTTCTATGTAATAATTTTATTTCTTCATTATTTTTATAACTATTACTTCAATATATTTGGTTTACTCTGCAATCTTAGGTATCTTCTTTTATACAATTAAAACTGAGGGAGGTGTCACAGGTTTCACCAAACAGCCAAAGGAGGTTTATGGTACAAAAAGGCAAAGAGCCCATGCTGAAATGATGTCTTTGATGGCACTTAGTGTGAAGTGGAGAATTGGCCGTAGAAAGAAGCTTGGTTTTAGGTAAGGTTTAGAAGTAAAAGGAAAATTTTGTAAAGAAGGAGAGTTATTTATTATTTGGAGTTATTAGTTAGATTCCAGAAGAGCAAGTTAAAGGTTTAGGAGGGAAAAACCTCAATGGGAGATTAGATCAAAAGAGAGTAAACATAAAGTGGAATGGGGTAATGGAATTGGTTACAGATGACTAGAAGAGTTTACATCCTGATTCTTAGCCAAGATCACAGCTGTATGAGGAAAAACTAGCAAGGGTAGGTAAGGGCAGAAGGAGATACTGAGTCCTGGGTTTTGGTAGATGGAGATACATGGATTTCTGTGCAAGAGTCACTTGTAGCCTGGATGGTTTTGGGGACTTCAGAGAGAGGCTTCAGCTCTGGCTAAATGCAGCATGCATTCTGGATCCCAGGGGTGTTTAGAAGTGTAGGATGGGTACTAACTCTGGGGGGTGCCCTGATGGTCTGCATAGGTATGTATGGCCCTTTATGAGAGCATGTGGATAGATGACATTTAATAAAAGTATACTATGAAGAGGAAAATTAATATGGTAATAATAGCTAATAATAATAACGACTAACATTTATTGAACACTTAGTGAGTGCCAGTTATTGTGCTAAGTGCTTTGTGTACTTATCTCATTAATTCTTTAGTAGAATAAATGCAGTCTTTCAGAGTGGTTAATCTTTAATTCTCAGGATCTCCCAGAACCTGATCTTAAAATTACAAGCATCTTGTAAGAGCTGTTTTAGTCATCTAGACAAGAGCTTTCAAAGTGATATTGTCAAAGCACATTGAATGTGCCATAGATGTGTTCCACTGTGTTGAGATATTGAATGCCTCAGTCACAGAGTAGCAGGAGTCCCAGCCTAGTATTCTTGTGTGCCATATATATCCCATTTTATGAAAAAGAGCATGGCTCTTGATCATGTCTGTGTCTAATTGTCCTATAGGGGAAACTGGTGGTTGAACCCTAGAATACAAATTCCTAGCCTTGGGATGTGTTTCAGGAGTTTCTGATCCTTTTATTTGAGGTGGGAACTGAGGTAGCTTTTATTAGGGAACAAAGAATGTGTGTGCCTGTAGCTCTGCATTTAGATTTCTTATATATTATACATAGTATGTCTAATATGCATTATTAGTATTGTTAATGCCACCAAAAGTCATTGGTAATTTGAAATGAGCATACATATTCTGCTTGTTTTGTACACATCCCTTTAGTCTGTTGAAAATTTATGACATCGTTCATTCATATGTAATATATGATGTCCTTTGGTGAGATGATTTCATAACTTACCTCCCTCCCCTATGTTCTTTCAAAGATGTTAAAAGTCAGAACTAATTTTATTCTAGAACTATTTCTGTTAGGCCATCGTTTACACAAAAGAAATCTTACTAGGACATAAGTGTTTAAAAGGTTTGAATAAATGAATGGTTTACTGGGACTTGAATGGATGTAATAGGAAGATTTCCCTTTCTCCAATTTCAGTGAAGTTAGACCTGGAAATCTCTAACTAATATTATATGTCTGGTTACATGTATAGACTATGTTGTTGAGGCTTTGGTTTTAGAATCCTATTTTATTCTGACTCTTATACCACTTGATGGTTATTGGTATGTGATGTAGAAGATAAACTTTTAAGTGGCACTGCTACATAAACAAATAAATACCACAACAACAAAGATAATTTAGTATTTGTTGATATAAAACTTTTTGAAATTATTGTTGTTTGTATATGTAAACTGAAAGCCATATTAAACATCCTAGGAGTTCTTTGAATTACGTCCTCTTGGCTGGTTGCTACTGCCTGTGTCTGACTTCATACAGTTTCCTTTAGATGGCAACAATATAGGAAAAATCTGACCCAAAATATCTTACCGCCCTATTCAGTCTGATATTCTGAAAAGAGCAATAAATTTGGGAATCAGTAGGCTTGGTATCAGATATTGTGAGTATTCTGTTTTGATACTTTGTCAAAACTAGATAAGTGCTAGTTTCTTAAAGGTAGATTATTGACTCTGAAACCGAATCAGTGAACTTATTCTGTTACATTAAAATTCCTTGGTCTGGCGGGGTCAGTCGTCCAGTCTCGGCTGGGCAGCCGGCCTCCCCGCTGCTTTTCCCCTACACCCTGTCTGCCCTAGCACCCCACACCCTGTCCCCTCCCCTCCGGCCCACGGATGCTACCCCACTACTAATAGGAGGGCCACTGTGGTGAGTCTTGAAGCGTGGCACGTGGGCCAGGTGATGCCATGGCAGGTGGTAGTAGCAAATGTTCAAACAAGAGCTTTGAAGGTTGAAGTGGAGAAGGGTAATGTGAACAGATTGCGAAGCTGGGGAAAAAAATTCCTTGGTCTATCATGGATTTTTTATCTCTGCATGGTTTTATAACATCATTCATTGGTCCTTTAGAAAATGTGGTTCACTGAGTTATACAGATCTTCCAGATGTTGAGACAAATCACATTTATTAATATTACCTCCAGTCTCATCAGAAAAATATAAGTATTGGGAAGCAGTCAAGCTCATAGTGGTGGATACCAATTTTCCAAAATTGTAATCTTCTCTTGAAAGCTTGAATTTTATTCTTTACAGTAAACATCCTTAGTTGTTTTACTTGAAATGGTATAGGTAAATGTCTGGCAAATACCCAAATCTGAATAATCATTGGTTGTAGGTCAGTTTTTTTCCAAGAATGAGATCATATCCCATGAAAAAAAAAATCAGTTATTTTAGCTCACAACTCAAACAATTGTACAAGTCCTTTTCCTTGAGATAACCATTATGCCTTGGTATGCCGCAAAAGTGCTTTATATGTCCTTCTGTTTGTCACACAGACCTATTAAAAAGAAATGTACTTAATGATAGGGATTTAATAAAATTAATTTTTAACTCTGTCATCAGGGACTTTTTTTTAAAAAAGTTTTATTTATTTTGGCAGCTGGCTGGTAAGGGGATCTGAATCCTTGACCTTGGCATTATCAGCACAGTGCTATAACCAACTGAGCTAACTGGCCAGCTCCCCCAACCCCCTCCTTTTTTTCCTCTCTCTTTAAATGCAAGTATATTATGGTGAGGAATACAGTGCAATTTGTACTGTATTAAGAATAACTGGTAGTACGTTTTAGGTACCATTACTTTGGTACCAAGGTGCCAGCAGTTTTACTCAGCATTGCTTTTGCACCATTAGTACAAATGTCAGTATTATAAAAAAGGCTGACAAAGGCCTAGTGTTATTTTGAAAAATAGTTTTGACCACATGGGACCTTTCAGAAGAGTTGTGGGGATCCCCAGGAGTCCATGGATCATGCTTTAGAAACCTGTACTATGTTCTGTCATTATTGATGTGAAAATGTAGTATTCATCATATGTTAAATTCCTCTGAATACTTAAGAGATTTTTGAATACTCTCTTCTGTTTCACTAACTTTCCTTTTCCTGAACTAATGTAATGTAATTATATTACTTGTAATTACGTGTAATTACTGTATCTTTGTAGTGTGCTTGTGTTATTATTTTTATTATTTTCGATATTCTTGTGTTATTTATCTTTTCAGATTAGCTAGTTCAGTTACATGTCAAGAAAAAAATGAATATATACCATTGGGATTTTGATTGAGATTACATTAAATTTATTATTAATTGGGGAAAATTGACATGCTTAACAACATTAAGTTTTCCTATCTAGTAACATAGTATGTCCCTCCATTTATTCAGTGCTTCAGTAAAATTTAAACAAATATGGCATAGTTTTGTTAAGTTTATTCTGTGACATTTTCAGCCTTTTTTTTTTTTACTATTATAGAAGGGACTTTTTTGCTATATTTTTGAATTGTTTTTTGTAGATATAGGAGAAGTTTATTTTTGTATTTTTATCTTGAATACGAACTTTACAAAAATTTTTCAGTTGAAACTCTTGAATTTTTCAGGTAGATAACTATGTTATCTTGAAGCGACATCTTTTTTTCTTAATTTTCTCTGTTTCTTATTGCACTGGCTAAGACCTCCAATGTAGTGTTGAATAGTAGAGATATTGGCCTCTTTGTCTTGTTATGACTTGAGTGGGAATACTTAATATTTCTCCATCAGGTTTAGTTTTTAAGATTTTCAATGCTTCTAAAAAAATCTAGATAAGGAAGCTTCCTGTTTGTTGCCTTCTATTTCTTACATATTAAGCGCTTTGAAAAATAATGAACAGAATATAAATTTTATTAATTTGTTTTTAGCATCTGTGTTGAAGTAATCAAACATGTTTTTTATTTTGTTAAGGTGGTAAGTTATATTATTATAACTCCCATTATTGAATGGAATCTATTTGGTTAAAATAAAACCTGGTAGGATTTTTTGCATCTGTTTTTCCTTTAATTTGAATAGGTATTCATAGCTGAGATTGGTCTTAAATCTTTTTTTTTCTGGTTTTGTTTTCATAGTTATGCCACTGATAAATAGTTAAACTGTCAGGCTCTTCCTGTGCTCTGATATTGTTTATATAGTAATTACCTGCTGTTTGTAGGTTTTATAGAACTTACCAGTTAAATCATCTAGTTCTGGTCATGTTTATTTGGGGGTAGATCTATGACCATTTTGAATTTATCTTACAGTGTTTTTAATAATAAGGAAACCTCATGGTGACATGGGTCATATGTTTCTTTTTGCTACTGTAGCCTTAACACCTAGCACAGTGCTAGGCATATATAGAAGATGCTCAGAAAATTTGTTCATTGAATCTTAGTAGGCTTGAATAGTTATTTTACTTTGTTAAAGTTTTATTTGAACTCTTTTAATTTTTTTCTTCTTTTTGTTTTTCCTCCTTAAAGTCCCACTCTTGTCCTGGGGGCCCAGCTTTAACTTTAGCATCTGGTATGTTGAACTTAGTGGCATTGATGATCCTGATGTAGTACAACCCTGTCTCAACTGGTATAGTAAGGTAGGACTGTCAACCTCTTGTCTTTGTTGAGAATAATTTAAAATATTGAGAATAATAATAAATATATATTGATTAGTATAATGCTTAATCAGCTAACATTTAATAAACATTTACAGTCTGCCAACTTTTAAGCAATCTTGATAAGTCATTGAATCATTATCACTGTCTGAAGTAGGTACAATCATTATCCCCATTTAGTTTATAGATGAGGAAATAGAGCATAGAGAGGTTAAATATTTTGTCCAGGGTCACACAGTTGTAAAGTGTTCGAGCCAGTATATGAACTCAGGCAGTTTGACTCCACAGTCTGCCATTATATTATTATACCCATTTGACTCTGAATTTTGTGTTTAACCTGTATTGATATAAATACTTTAAACTTAGTTTTTAGTGGGATAGTTTTGCAGTCTGATGGGAAATTTAAAAAGTGGATGTGATTGAGACTCCTAGAGTCAACATGATAAAAAGGTATTACTGTTTAATGTAACTATATACTGTTATATAGATAGTTATGATAATTTTTTTTAGAGGCTAAAAGTGAGAAGTTATTAATGTAAAATTAGTATGGATAGAGAATCCTTCTTTGATTATTTGATGAGGTAAAATCTTGGTTAATTATAATGTGTTAGAAATAGGTATTTAATAACCTTTTATTAGTAAAAAATCAGCTAACTATAAACTGATTTGTGTTTCAATTCTTGTAAATCTTCCTAAAGGTATTATTTTATTTTCTTGCCTTATTAAAGGGTAATGCTTATAAGTAAATCATTGTTGTTGATTATCATGCAGTACTTTTGTGTCATGTTTGTTTTGTTAATTGTTATTATATAGCAGGATGCTTAGAAAATTTGAAGTAATCTCAGAATATATTCTTGAAGTTGATTTTTTAAAAAAATTCTTTTTATGAGCTTGTGTTTTTGGCATTCATCCTGTATGTTATTTAATGTTTCTGTGCTTTCATACCTGCATTATAATGTGATTAGTGGATGCTATAGGACTTATAATTTTACAGTCTTAAGTGGACTTTAATAAATAGTTGTTGAGCTGCTTTTCTTCAAATTCAGGCTCTAGAATTAGGTCTGGTTTCATCTCTTTTGGCTATATATACTTGGTCTCCTTGGGCAAGTTATTACAATGGGCTAAACTTTCGTTTTGCTGTTTGAAAGATGGAAATAATGATACCTAATGGGCTCATAGTAAATGCTGAGTTTACATTAGTTATTTTCACTGTTATTTCCTACAGTAACAACTAAGCAAATCTCTTCTTTTCATACTTTCTCCTGCGTTCTAGTAGTACCGTGAACAGGAAGCCATTCGCCTTTGCCTAAAACACTTCAGACAACACAACTATACGGAAGCTTTTGAATCACTGCAAAAGAAAACCAAGATTGCTCTGGAACATCCAATGTTAACAGACCTGCATGACAAACTGGTGTTGAAGGGTGATTTTGATGCTTGTGAAGAATTGATTGAAAAAGCTGTAAATGGTATGAAACTTGATTATTATTAGGGTGATTTCGTGTATATACAGAAAACTGTTTTTCAAAAAGAATGTATAAGCTTATGCCAGTTATTACTCTATTATTTTTTCTTTTCTTTTTATTCTGTAAAGATTGTTAGCTCATTGGGTTAGGGGCTTCTTTCACGTAAGATAGGTCCATACTGTAACAGGACTTAGAAAAGAATGAAACTTACTTGAGCTCACATATCTAAATTTAAGTAGTCATATAGGGAAATCATGCACGTACTAATGACACCATTAACTAATACTAAACCATGTTAGAAACAGTCTTTTGATGTTACCTTTGGTATTAGTGGCCTTTTCCTTTAAGTATTTTTGTCAATAGCCAATATTCATTCTTTAACGGTGTAATTTTGGGGAGACAGGGTTGAATGGTCAAAAAATGTTATTAGTAGATAATTATAATGATCAAGGAGATTTGTATTAAAAACAGTTTCTGTGTGGTGTAAATGCTAAATAATCACTGATTTGGTTGTATGGCCTGTAATCTGGCTTTGGAAGAAATGTGAATATTTGAAAATGTGAATAATCTTCCAAAGTAACTGCTTTGGAGGATGACACCCATTTGGATATTTAAAGTCTGGTATGTTTTATTATTTAAAATAAAAAGGTACTCTATTGATACTTACAGAATGACATCTTCTTTTTTTTTTTAAGTATTCCACAGTAACTTTCATAGTGACAAATATCAGAATAAAGTGCTCTATAGAAAACTTGTGGAATTGAATTTGGTGCATCTTTTTATAGAAAGGAATAAGGAATTATAGACTTCTCAGTGCTTTTGCTTTCATATATTTTAATCTTATCACTGTTAATATCATCCACTATTGTTAGGTACTCATATTTATCAGTTGGGTATTTTACAACTAAAGAAAATAGAACCTGTACTGCCTTTTTGAGTTTATATAAAGTTAACTTAAAATGAACTGCTTCCAGCTCTGCTTGGTTAAATATAATGACATACCTACCTCTAGGTCTTGTACATTGTTATCATTTATTTAATTGATGATGAAGCTTGCAAATAAATGATTGGTATATTTGAAACGGAGTATACTTTGGAGTGAAGGCAAATAAAATATATATGAGAATTAATCTCTTACCAAACCATTAAAATGCTACCAGTGAAAGTATATATTTGTATATATGTATATATGCTGTTTCTAATAGTTGAATTCTATATTTTTTTAACCTCATAGAATGAGGGAGGCATAAGTAATTTTATGTTTTTGTTGTTGTTTCATATATTTACCATTAAGGCATTTGATAGTCTGTTAAGGGAAAGTAACAACCATGAGAATCTTTATGTAATTATTAGGCTAAAAACAATTGTTTTAAAACTGTCTTGGGCCGGCCCGTGGCTGGCCTGGGAGAGTGTGGTGCTGATAACACCAAGGCCACGAGTTCAGATCCCTATATAGGGATGGCTGGTTAGCTTACTTGGGAGAGCGTGGTGCTGACAACACCAAATCAAGGGTTGAGATCCCCTTACCAGTCATCTTTAAAAAAAAAAAAAAACTGTCTCTTTAGTAGTATACTTAGTATACTTAGAGAAGTAGTATAGTTAGAGAAGCTATTGAAAACATGTGCAACTTTGATTGCTATAGAGATTTAACTTACCCCTCTGGCTCTAGAAAGGAACCAAGTTTAGAGAAATTGGTAGTAACTCTATTCTTAAAACTTAGAGCCAAGTCATATTTTTTTTTTTACTACTATGGGCTTTCCTTACCTTGCTTGGAGCACTGTTAGTTAATAAACATTCCTTCCAGGGTGGTTCAGTTTGCTGCTAACTTCACTGATGATGATTTGTTGGACAAATAAGGAAGTAAACAGTGCAGAGTTTTTTTGGCTTCTACTACACTAAAAAACTTAGCAGAGAACAAGAAGTCCCTGCCTACTCAATAGGAAAGTCTAGGGAATCAAAAACATCTTCTATCAAGCTTCTTATAATGGAGGAAACAAAAAATACTTTCAGTATATTTAGTTTATTAGTTAGTATGGTCTGTATTTTTAAAAAGTGTCAGTCTCTATTTCTCTAATAAGCTTCCTATTTGCCTAGAAACATCCCTGTATTTATATTTAAATTCACGAGAGGTAATTCTTGAACCAGTCATTGCTACTTTCTCTGTGACAATGTAGAATCCAGTGAGGATGGGCAAAAGTAATCACCTAGGAACAAGAAAGTTTTCTCAAAGAGGTAAAGATTGTACTGGAAACCATTCTTTGTAGAGCTTATCTTATTTGCTATAGAAATAAAGGTTTGTTTTTGTGAGATAAGGGAGAGATAAAGTTTAATAAGGTGGTCCTAAAGTTTTAACTTGAAAGCTCCACTTCCCTTCCTCCATCTTTCCTTCCTCTATTTTTTTCTCTCTCTCTTTCCCGTGTCTTATATCCTGTCTCATCTCTTGGGTAATGCAGTAATCTGTTTACTCTCCCCTTAGATTCTAAATTTTTTTGAGTGAGTTCTCATATCTATTTGAGATTTTGTTTGAGAATGCCCTTTGTCTTAGCTATTATGAGGAGTTGATGCTGAAATTTGTCAAATGCCTTGATGGCATCCATTGAAATAAGTATTTTTATCCTTTAATGGTGCAGTTATTAAATTGGAGATTTTTCTAATATTGAATTATATTTGAATTTTTTGAATCTTTTCTAATTAGTCATTGTGTATAATTCTTTTAATGTTTTACTGGATTCTGATTGTTTAAGTCAGTATTTTTAATTTGGATTGACCATAGGGCTCTCTCCCTGCTTTCTTTAGCACCTGTTTAAAATTTTTATGTAAGAGTTAGGCTGGCTGTGTAAAAAATAGACAAATGTTATTCATATATTTTCCTTTTTTTTAGTGGTTTATTAAGATACAATTGGTATTATAAGCTATACATATTTGAAGTGTATAATTTGATAAGTTTTGACATATACTAAGGTATTTTTAAACTTTATGGAAAGATTTGTATTATCTTTTAATTTTTATGCAAACTTTTTGAAGTACCTTTATATATGTACCGTCAGTACACTCACTGTAACAAGTGTATTCATCACCCCCCAATTTTTCTCATGGCCTTCTGTAACTTAGCCCTTTCTCCTAATCTTTCCATCCCAGGCAACCATTTGCTTTCTGTCACTGTAGATTAGTTTGCATTTTCTAGAATTTTCTATAAGTGGAATTATACTATATACACTTTTTTTGTCTGCCTTCTTTCAATAAGCTTAATTATTTTGAGTTTCATCCATGTTGTTGCATGCATTAATACTCATCTCTTTTTTTTTTTTTTTGTCTTTTTCCGTGTCCGGCAACGGATCGCAACCCTCAGTGTCGCCCCCTTACCGGACCGGGGACCGGCAACGGGATCGTAACCCCCAGTGTTGCTCCCGCGCCTCGCTCAGCCAGTGAGCGGGAACCGGTCTGTATGTGGGATCCGAACCCTCGGGCGGGAGCGCCGCCGCGCTTCCCAAGCGGCGCACTATCCAGTGCGCCACCGGGCCGGCCCAATACTCATCTCTTTTTAAAGCTAAGTAATAATCCATAGTATGGATATACAACAGTTTGCTTATGCATTCATCTGTTGATGGACATTCGGTTTGCTTAGTTTTTGGCTATTACAGGTAAAGCTGCCATGAACATTTGTGTAAAGGTTTTGTGTGGACATATGCTTTCATTTTTCTTGATAAATACCTAGTATTGGTATATCTGTGTCATATGGTAAGTGCATGTTTAATTTTTTAAGAAACTTCCAGTTCTCCAACATTGTACTCTTTTATATTTGCACCACTAGTATACAAGAGTTATGGTTGCTGCACATCCTTGCCAACAGTTAGTAAGATCAGTCAGTTGTTTTAATATTAGCCATTCTAGTAGCTGTATGGTAATATCTTATTTTTAATTTGCAGTTCCCTAGTATATTTTTAGCATATTTCTATGTGCTTATTGATGTTTAGCATATTTTCATATGCTTATTTGCCATCTCTATGTTTTCTTTGGTGAAGTGTCTGTTCAGATCTTTTGCTCATTTTTTAATTGGGCTATTTGTTTTCCTATGATTGCATTTTGAGAGTTTTTTATGTATTCTGTATACACATCCATTATCAGATTAAGTGATTTGAAAATTTATTTTCTTAGTCTGTGGCTTGTCTTATCATCTTCTTACTGTTTTGAGCATCAGAAATTTTAAGTTTTGGCGAAGCTCAATTTATCCAGTGTATCATTTATGGATCATAATTTTTGATATTGGATCTAAGAAATCCTGTCTAAGCCAAGGTCACAAAGACCTTTGTTTTTTTCCAGAAGTTTTATGTTTAAAATTTACCCTTAGGTTTATGATTCATTTTGAATTAATTTGTGTATATGGTGCCAGGTATGGATCTAAGATCTTTTTTTTTTTTTAGCCTATGGATATCCAAATGTTCTAGCACCATTATTGAAAAAGACTATTCTTTTTGTATTGACTTGTCTTCGCATCTTTGTTAAAAATTAGTCTACTATAGGGGCCGGCCCGGTGGCGCACTGCTACAGTGCGCCGCTTGGGAGCGCGGCGGCGCTCCCGCCAAGGGTTCGGATCCCACATACAGACCGGTTCCCGCTCACTGGCTGAGCGAGGTGCGGGCACAACGCCAAGGGTTGCGATCCGTTGCCGGACACGAAAAAAGACAAAAAAAAATTAAATAAATAAATAAATAGATAGATAGACAGACCGGTTCCCGCTCACTGGCTGAGCGAGGTGCGGGCGCAACGCCAAGGGTTGCGATCCATTGCCGGACACGAAAAAAGACAAAAAAAAATTAAATAAATAAATAAATAGATAGATAGATAAATAGATAAATAAATAAATAGATAAAATAAAAATAAAATTGCTTTAAAAAAATTAGTCTACTATATAAGTGTGCATCAGTTTCTAGACTTTCTGTGCTACTTCATTTATTTGTTTTTCTATTATTTCACCAATGTCGCACTGTCATGATTACTGTGGC